ATTTCCTTGGATATAAAGTAATTATGGGCAGTCCTTCATTTACAAAGTAGACTTTAGTTTCATTCAAATGCGTTGTAAAATTTTTATGAAGTGAGAAATTGGATTAGCTATATTTTCCCTTTTTATATTATGGTCTCCATCAGTCATCTTTCTTATTTCCCTTCTCGCTGTTGACTCCATGCCCACTGTTCAGGTTTCCAACATGTTATATAGCTACTGCCCTATTTTTAATTTTTCTTTTCTTTTTGCTACCAAAATTCCTTTCTGATTACTCTGTATCTGTCGCCTCCCTTTTTTACTATCCACAGTCCTCTTAACAAGTGAGGATTGCACGTGAGCTTACAAGTGAGCTCCTGATAACTTAGTATGATGGCCTTTTAGCCCTCATCCTTGGCAACATCTTCGTGGCGTTAGACACTGTTAACCCATTTACCCTGTCGTGGATGTGTTCCCCTGGACTTCTTAGTCCCTGCTCCTTGTTCTCCACCTCCTTGAATACTTTTAGTTCCTTCCCTTTGCTTTTGAAGTAAGAATGTTTCCCGAGGATCTAGCCATGAAAAAAATTCCCTCCTTTTTACAGTTTACACAGGAGAATCTCATTCATTTCTGCTTCTGTTATCATCTTCATGCATAGCTACCTTCTCATTTTTATTTATTGTCTTGACTTGATTCCCAAGTTCCTGATCCACAGATGTTGCACTCATAGAGCCAATAAGATATTTATGGGGTTATGTATACTATTCTATCTTTAAAAAATCTTCTCTGTACCCTAGTTTTCCTGCTGGCTACTACCATATTTCTTTGCTTCCTTTACAGGATAATTCCTTAAGACAATAATCTCTACTCACTGTCTCCCCTTCCTCTCTTCCCATTCTCTCTTGAACCCATTCAGGTAGGGCTTTTGTTCCCTACTGTTGTATCAGAGTTGCTCTTGTCAGAGCTATGAATCAAATGATCAGTTCTTAGACCTCATTTCACTAGACTTCTCAGCAGCATTTGTTATAGTTGTTCATTCTCTCCTTCTCAAAACACTTTCTTAACTTGGCTTCTAGGTCACTACATTCTTCCTGTGTCTTTTTACATTACTGGACAGTCCTCAGTTTCCCTTGCTGGATCCTTCTCCCTTTCGTGACCTCTAATTGTTGGAGTGCTCCACGGCTCAGTCAGTAGCTCTCTTCTCTTCTTCCTAGGTGATCTCATTTAGTCTCCGGGCTTTAAATATCATCTGTTTGGTATTCTGCTTTAGAATAATTTTAGTATCCCCTCTCCTTTGTTACCTCCCTTCAATTTTGCACATTCAGATTTTCAGAATGTGTCCCTTCTTCTAGAGTCCTTATTTAGAATACACATCATCCATTAAATTCATACATATTGCTTACCAGATTTCCTTTTCATCTTCTCCTATCTTGAATCTGTGTTAAGGTGTTTTTATTGTTTGGCTATTTTTCTTAAGTATGTTTCCTCAGATGGTTTGCTTGAGTGATATAATCTTGGAGATCTTGGTTAACCTCAAATATCTTTTTGTCATCCCTTTTAATTAATGGGTATCTCAGCTGGATATAAGATCCATGAGTTCTTCTGCTTTCCTTTCAAGTAATCTAGATTAGCTTCCATTGTTTCTTAGTCTCTGGTGTTGATGATAAAATTCCAATACACTTGTTTTTTCCCTTAATGATAATTGTTCTTTCTGTCTGAATACTTACAAGGTTTTTTTCTTTGTTTATAAGATTAATGAATTTTATAAGGATGTGAGTAGATACTTGTCTTTTCTCTTCAATTCACCCTGAAACATGGTTACCCTTTTCAACTATCCACCAGAGGTGTTTCTTTAGCCCAGAGAAATTTTCTTTTATTATTTACTTAATTGTTGTCTCTCCTTCATATGGTGTGTCTTTTCCTCTTTTGAACACCTATTTTTCACATTAGTTTTCTGGATCTATCCTTCAAATGTTTTTGTTTGTTTGTTTGTTTCTTTTCCTTCACTACTTCCATTTATTTAACTTTCTGCTCTGTGCTTTGAGATAATCTTTGCACTTCATCTTCTAGTCTGCTCAGGTGTCAATAATGATCACATTTTTTTCAAAATTCATTTACTCATTTTAGTCTGGAAATCATGGAAGAGAGTGTGTGTGTATGAGTGTGTGTGTGTGTGTGTGTGTTGCATTAGAATTTACTTAAGTGCTGAAACAATTTTTGTGTAGGTTTTTATCTTTTCTAGCACTTCTCTTTCACTAGATATGTGTTCTGATTATTCACTTGTATTCTGCTTTTTCAAATGTTTGGGCCTCTCACATGATCTGTTATTTTTCTGTGATAGCTCATTGGAAATCAGGTCTGGTTGCTGAACTGCCCTTAATAGCAGGAATGCCAGAGGTCGGGATAGATGTAGTGCCTAAAGTTGAAGGACAGCCCCACTAGAGATACCTGAAGGAAGCCCAGTGCTCTCTGATGTACTTGAACTGCCCTAGTTTCCAAAGTCAGGAAAGCCCACTTGTCTCCTGTTAAAATCCAGCATATCCAGAGGGCTCCAAGATACTCTTACAACTGGGGTCTTCAGATACTTGAAAGCCAAGCCAATCCAGCCATCCACAGCCCTTAGTTGTTGCCTGGGGCTCTGATGCTGCTTTTCAGTCAGTTAGCCACCCACAGGGCAATTTAGTTGCATACCAGTTCTTCACTAGAGTCATAAACCTTATCTAGCAGCCTTCAGGTCACAGCCTCTGCTTCTCTTTAGAAAGTTAAGGAACTTGGAGTTGGGCATAGAGGAAAACAAGCCACAGTCAAGTTGTCATATTACCCTGGATCCTTTCTCATTCCAATGCCATTACATTCTAATGAGTCTCAGATTTATTATATCTCCAGTTCCCTACCATTCCCCCAACTCACATATCCAGTGGCCCACTCAACAGTTCAACTCGGATATCTAATGGATATCACAAAGGTTACACGTCCAAACCGAATTTTGGATTATCATCTCCAAACCTACTCCTCTCCCAGCCTTTCCTGTCTCAGTGAGTGCATTACCCCCATTTTTCAGTTAATTGCTTAAGACAGTATCTTAAGATTCATTTTTCTCTGTCTCTCATTTTATATCCACATCCCAATCGATCAGCAAATCCTGTTGGCTGTACTTTCAAAATGTACCTAAACTGACCACTTCTCACCTCCGTCATCTCTACCATGCATCCATCTATCCTTTTTCCTTTCCTGGTCTACTTCAGGTGCCTCCTGACTGCTTTCTGTGCTTCTGCTCTTGCCCTCTACAGTTTATGCTCTAGAAGGCAGAGTAATCTTTTTAAAAGGTAAAATGTTGCTTACTTCCAAAGGATTCTAATAAAATCTAGACTTCGTGCCATTGCATATAAGGTTCACCGTGGTCAGGACCCTAGGTGCTTCCAACCTTATTTTCTACCATTTTCCATGACTCAGTCCACTTTAATCGCATTAGCTTCCTTCCTCTTGCTTAACTACATCATAACCATCTTATCTCAGGGCTCTTGCACTCGCTCATCCCTTTGCTGAGAGTACCCTTCCTCCAGATTTTCTCATGATTCCCTTCCTCGTTAAATTTGTGATTTGTTCAGATCTGTTAGAATTGCCTTATCATAAAGATTATTCCTGACCACCCTATAAAATAGCTCCTCCCTTATTTCCCTATTCCACCTACCCTGTTTTAGTTTTTTTTAATAGCATGTATCACCACTTGAATCATTTATTTGTTCATTGTCAGAAATTCTTCCAGTCACCCTCTATGAGGGAAAGACTTTAAAATTCACTGCTATATCCCTAGCACATAGGACAGAGCCAGGTACATAGTAGGCACTCAATATATAATATATACTTGAAGTGACATCTTTTCCAAAGTTGAGTTGGATTTTACAATGAAAAAGTAGGTATATGCATGAATCTTCCTGGAAATAAGTCATATTTTTCAAAGTATTGCTTTTTAGTTTTCTGCTTTTTAGGCTTGTTTGCAAAAAATGTAATAAACTTTTTACTCTTGCATATGTTGTAAATTTCACTTAAAGTATTTGTATTTTATTTTTCCATAAAAATACTTAATATGTAACCTGACATCTTTTTTCATTTTAAGAACGAAATTCCATTTTACTTGTAACTTATTCCTTAATGATATATTTATTACCAAATTATTAATTTGTGTCTTATGTTAAAAGAAACCATGTAGTATTGTGTAATGTCAAGGCCATTGGGAATAAAGGAAGGAAAAAATACAAATAGGGACTTTTTTCCTCTCTGATTTTTATAATATTCCAGTATTTTTTTTTACATTGCCTGGAAATCCCCTCAGTTAAGAGATAGGTTTTTCTCCTTACAATGTACTCACTGTTTCTAAGGGACCCCTCATGATCTTGACCATATCTGCTATTCTTTCTTTTTGCTCTTTGGTTTTTTCTTCTACTTAGGACCTCAGTTTATGCCCCCATCCTCAATTTTCAGTGGATAGAATTTACTTCTATAGGTTAACAAGAAAGAACAGAGAAGAGAGAACTCAGTAAAATAATAGTAGAAACCAAAATTCAGCTTGAAAATAGGCTTAGCGTGTATAATATAGTATATATACTTTTACCTATAACATGCTAATGCACTTTAATACAGCATTCTTCTCATCTCTAGGGAAGACCAATTTTAAGGTTTATTGGTACGGAGGGAAGTCATTGGTACAGAGGGAAGTCATTGGTACAGTCACTTGCCATTTTGCTCACATTTTGAAGGGTCATTGTAGCTGTCGCCATTGGTGGGATGTAGGAAACAGTACACCTGAAACTCTAACACTCCCACATCCATATGCTGTTGGCAGCTGGAGAGACTTATAAATCAGCAATGGCCCATTTTCTCATGCACACTTATAAACACCTCTCTCTGGCTTAGTACTTTAACATTTGTAAACTATTTTGTGGCAAGCTACTCGATCAGAACTTTTTAAATGGCTGACTTTGGTAATTAAGAGATTAATTTGGTTTTATTTTTATTTTTTCCAGGTGTATGGTGGCTGATGAAGTAAGTGTTTTCATGATTTTTATGTCTTTTATAAAATTCCCCAACCAGTTTTTGTTATCTGTTATTTACCCTGTGTTCTCTGTCTTTCATATGACTATATATCTGTATGTGGAGAGGACAGTGGGAGAGCGAGGGAGGGCGGGGCATGGGGGCAGCAGAGAGAATAAGAATGAGAAAGAGAGAGTGTGCGTGTGCACATGCGTGTGCACGTGACCGTGCGCAAGGCATGCATTTGGAACATGTTAGTGTTAACATTAGTGATTCAAAATTCTATATTTTTGGCCTCAGAAACATGAATGCAGCCCCAAATGAAACTGAACTCTTTTCTACTTGTCATAATGCTGCTTGCTTAGAAGCTGAACTTTTAAGATTTGGCTCTAAAGGTTATTGTTAATTGTTTTGTATGAGTGTGAAGCATAATGTTAAAATGGCATTTTACTATTACTAAACAATTTGATACCTTTAAGGGGCATGTACTCGTATACATTCGTATTCAGGTTTTTTCACTGAAATGGAAGTTCTTGCTACATAAACTACAATACTCTTTACATACATTCTCAGAATGATGTAGATCAATAAAGTTCTAATTTTTAATATCATTTTGGAAAATGTGTTGCTGTTTTCATGATGTCTTTAAGGATAACTGCAAAACATATACATTTAAAAATATAATAGAGGTGAGGAAAATGGATACTGAATTTTTTAAAAATATAAGTGAAACCATAAAAGATTCTCCCAATTAACGGTCTTTTAGTTTTAGTTACATGTAGACTCACCAGTGGCTTATCTCCACTATCTCTTCTTCAGGAGAAAACTGAATAAGAGTATAATATGCACATGATTGCCAAGCAGAAGGTTCATATAGGGTTTCTTAGTTCATGCTGATTTATAATTACTGAAGTTTTTAGTTTGAACTCTTCATTCTATAGGCATTTGTTTAGACTAGATGTTATAGTTAGAAACAGTCATTGCCTGTGAAAAACTTCAACAGTGTAATTAAAGACACAGGACATAGACATTTGGAAAACAGTAGAAATTTCTATTTTGGAACAGGATGCATTCCAAAAGAATCTTCATAAATTTATAAATTTGAGAGTCCAAAATGACTAGAAGAAGCTTATGTTTTTAATCCCTGAATATGTTTTCACCAAATAGGAATATAAATTCATCCTTCAACCTCCAAACTAGGCATAACCATTTTATATAATATGTATAAAATGTGTGTGTGATATATGTATGGATGTGTGTATCAATAATTTTTTTTAAACAGACCAGTTTTATGTCCACGGGAAATATACCATAATGTGTAACATTATATTGATAATTTCCCCAAGCAATTCATGGGGAACATCTTAGTGGCTATGACATTGCATTGCTACCTTGTTCTTCAATTTGATGTTGTAGAGATTTGAATAGGCCTTAAATGTGCAGAATCATTCATGGATTGAATTTGATCAGCACCTTAACTCTTCTTAACTTTTATATTCTCCAGCAAACTCCTGTCTTCTCCTCAATTGACATTAGACTAAGGATTGTGCATGATGAGTTCATGATGAACCTTTTAGCCAACAAGAGTTTTTCTTTATACCAATCACTTTTCATCTCCTATTATTTACAGTTACATTTGTCACATGTTGAGTGATTTGTGCTTGTCTTTCAAAACCATTCTTATTTTTTTATTTAATAAATTTAAAAGAACCATTTAATATTTTCTCAGTACTTAAAAGAAGTTTCCACTTTGTGTCCCTCATATCTCCTTTTTTTCACCAGCATTTTAAAGACTTTCATTCTTTTACAACTATTTGACTTTCCGAGGTTTATTATGTCAAATCCTATCAATAAGGTTAATTAAGGAAAAATCCTCAATTTTACACATAAGTACAAAAAACAGGCCACAGAAATAATGTAATGATGTACAATTCTAAGATCACAGCTCAAAACCACTAATATCCTCTGTTTTTGGTTGAGCTGAAATGCCATTTCTGTGGAATCTTACTGAGTTAGTGTGGATGAAAGTGAGTAAATTAAAAGTCTTGAAGTAGAAGGAAACTTGTATATATGTAAATTACATGAACTCTGGTTTGACCTTCATTTTATTTTCTAATACTGTTCTCCTTCTCTTGCTCTTATCACAAAATGGTAGTGAAGTCATAGGAGGAAATGCAGTTTATAATTTGGAGGTCAACCAAGTTTTGATTTTTAAATTAAAAAATATATTTTGAGGACTTCCCTGGTAGCACAGTGGTTAAGAATCCACCTGCCAATGCGGGGGACACAGGTTCAAGTCCTGGTCCGGGAAGATCCCACATGCTGTGGAGCAACAAAGCCCGTGCGCCACAACTACTGAGCCTGTGCTCTAGAGCCCACGAGCCACAACTACTGAGCCCATGTGCCAAAACTGCTGAAGCCCGCGTGCTTAGAGCCCGTGCTCCTCAACAAGAGAAGCCACCCAATGAGAAGCCCACGCGCCACAATGAAGAGTAGCCCCCGTTCACTGCAACTAGAGAAAGCCCATGCACAGAAATGAAGACCTAACTCAGCCAAAAATAAAAAAATAAATTAATAAATTTATTTTAAAAAATATGTATTTTTTGATATAATGAATATTTGACTCATCAAATAGCTAAAAGCTTTAGGAGAGCAATATTACATCTCTGTTATTGAACCTACTTTTTTTTTTTTAAGATGCTTGAATACCCACTTAGAGTATTGTGTAATTTAGTTGTCTGCTGTGTGTGATCTTTCCTCCATAGCTTTAGAAGCAAATGACTTCCTTCACTGGAATAACTCCCCTCTCTTCTAGTATTTTTCTACTATTGTCTTTTTCTAATGTATTCAATCTTTGTGGAATTATGTAATCTGTCTACTGTATATGAGATAGTCATTAACCTAAAATGGGAATGATGACAAGTTCTGTTTAATTGTCTAATTGTGTGATCATTGAGTATTTCAATTATAAAACTATATTTCAGATAACCAACAAAGCTGCAACTTTTAATAAAACTAACTTTGCAAACTTAGCTTAAACTGTTTTAAATCCTTTTCCCCCTTCTTGGTTTAATGTAGTCAAGTGTTGTTTCAAGAACCGTGTAGTAAATATACAGAAACTTGTGAATTTGTATTCCTTTAATAATGGAATTCAGGTCACAGTCTGTAGTGAGGCTGTTGCACTATTATCTTTACTGTTCTTTAATAATTTTTTAACCACTGTGTCCTTGTTCTATTGAAAGTTATTGAAAATTTTTATTCATAAAAAGATTTTAAATATGAAAAATAATTTCATATTAACACACAACAGGTAATTTAATTCGATATACATGAGGAAAATATCAAACCTATATACTTACTACCTTATTTGTCAAGTATATAAAGGCTATTATTCTTTGTAGAAACCGAGCATTTAGAAAATTTTTGTCATGTTCATTTTTACTTAAGAAGGTGGGATTAACATCCTAGATTTATATGAATAGCCTAATAATTGTGTCCTTATAGACAAAATGCTGTCAGTACATGGATTCTGTCTTGTCTATTGAATCTATTATCAAAGTCAGAAGATTCTTATGTGACATTTTTTGTTAGTACTCTACTTAAGTCCCGTGCCCCTGCCCCCACCCCCAGCTTTTCCCTAAGTTTCCTTCCTGTTACTTGAGAAAACATTTGGAGTCAGGGGGATGGTATACCAAATAAAGTATTGCTTTCCTTCCTTTTTCAAAAGAAAAGGAAACCATTTGTCAAGGCTAAGCTACTTGGCTTGGCTTACTTTGTGGCTATTTTGGGATTAATAGATATATATTTGGAACAGAGACCATAGAGTTGTCATTATGGATGCTTTTCTTTGGGTCAAGGTGCTTCTCTGGAAGAGAAGTTTGGAGGGGAGAGGCTGTGGAACCTGTTGAGTGCTCGCAGAAGTTTTTCTGTAGGCTGAAGTTTGAAAAGCCTTGTCATTTTCTCTGCAGGCAGAAATCTGTAGGTGTCTGGAAACACTGAAGAACCCCCTCGGGAAGATTATTTCTATCAGAAGACCTTAAAATTGATATTGTGATATAGTCTCTGCCAACATTAACTTTATAGGTTTGAGGACAAAGAAATTAAACTAGACATGAAGAATTTTAGTTTTCCTTTTTATATAAGCCTACCTTGGTTTGACAAAGTGAGCTGAGGTGATAATTTTTATTCCATTTGCTTCTACAAATCCTTGTTTCCCTTTACCAGACCCAAGTTGAATTGAATACTTTCCCCTCTGAGCTTTTACTCTTTCTGATTCATAACCCCTCTTTGTTGGTGGTCCATTTCTGTTGAATGAATGGACTGATTAAAGAGTTAATACTTAATTAACACATATGTGCTGGGTTCTGTTTTAGTGATTTACATGTATTAATTTATTTCATCCCAGGACAACCCAACAGAGTATTATGATTATTATTACCACCATCATTTTCCAGATGAGAAAGCTGAGGCACAGGTATATTAAGTAAATACAGCTAGAACATGCTAGGAGCTGATATCTAACCTAAAATAATTCAGCACCCAAGTCCATTATTGCTATTCTATACAAAGTCTCCACGTACTAGACTTTCTGTGTTTTTTTTTTTTGCGGTACGCGGGCCTCTCACTGTTGTGGCCTCTCCCATTGTGGAGCACAGGCTCCGTACGCGCAGGCTCAGCGGCCATGGCTCACGGGCCCAGCCGCTCCGCAGCATGTGGGATCTTCCCGGACCAGGGCACAAACCCGTGTCCCCTGCATTGGCAGGCGGACTCTCAACCACTGTGCCACCAGGGAAGCCCACTTCTTGTGTTTTGAAACAGGATTCTTAAGTACAGAAGAATCTGCAAGACATAGTGCTCAAATGAATGAAGCTGAATGATATAGGTGATGGCATTTGTGCAGCTGAGACGGTCTATATTCTTCTAAATCAGTATCATTTGACTGCTTCCTTCCTTTCCTCATTTTTAAGGCCAGCTTTCCTATTTTTTGAATGTCCTTTTTTTTTTTTTTTTAA